GGCCAGCTGGACGAGGCATACTCGACCGCAAGCCAGCAGTCAGTAGATGAAATGATGGATGAGAGCATGCCACCCTCTGACGACGACCTGGTCCCTTCAGGTGCTGAGTCATCAGTACCTTTTCAGGTCGTAGAAAAGAAAAAGAAAAATAAACTTCCTAGAATTTTGCCCCCAAAGGGATCGTAGTCCCTTTAGAAATGAATCATAAGCAAGTGTCCACTTAGTTATCTTGCGGTGTCCTAAAGGCCAGTTATAATTTTAATTTTAATTTCCAGTTTTAATCTTCACCATGTCTCTGTTTTTACAGTGGAACTGCCGTGTGCTTTTTTGTAATTATGATGATGTCACTTTTTTATTAGACGAACACCGCCCTGCTGCCTTCTGTCTGCAGGAGACGCATCTTAAAGAAACTAGGTCAAATGTACTCCGCCATTATAAAGTGTTTAGACAAGATAGGTTGCACTCCTCTGTGGCGTCTGGTGGTGTTGCTGTAGTTGCCCAGCGCACAACCCCATCTGCCGAAGTGGCTCTCTACACCACTCTCGAGGCTGTGGCTGCCCGAATACTGCTAGACCGGGTGATTACTGTTTGTTCAGTGTACATATCACCGGGATACCAGCTGCAGTACGAAGAGCTAGAGGATCTTGTTAGTCAGCTCCCGGCTCCATACTTAATTTTAGGCGATTTTAATGCACACAACCCATTGTGGGGGAGTGGTAAACGGGATGCTAGAGGAGCACTTGTTGAACGTTTTCTTCTTTCCACGGGACTGTGCTTACTTAACACTAAAGAAGCCACACACTTTAGTTCAGCAACCAGGACTTTTACTTCCATCGACCTTTCTATCTGCCATCCTTCACTATACTCGCTGTTTTCATGGAGGGTCATCCCAAACCCATATGGAAGTGACCATTTTCCAATTATTTTAGAGTTTAACAGTCCTCCTGCTGGTCTTCAAACGCGTACCCCTCGTTGGAAGTTTGAGAGGGCTGACTGGGCAACTTTTAGCAGCTCTTCAGTTTTAGCTTGTTCATCACTTGATGATCTTTCCATCGATGATGTCACTCTGCATATCACTCGACACATATTACAGGCCGCAATCATCGCCATTCCCATGACGTCCTCGCATCTCCCAAAAAGGCCGAAGGCGTGGTGGAATAAAGACTGCCGCCAGGCAAAAAAGGAACAGAATCGTGCATGGGGTATCTTTAGGCGTTACCCTACTTCAAGTAATCTGATTGGTTTTAAAAGAAAAAGGGCCCAGGCAAGGTTTATTCGAAGACGAGCCAAGCGGCAAAGCTTTAGAGGATATGCCTCTTCAATCAATAGCAGTGCATCTATAAAGGAAGTTTGGGACCGCGTGCATAAAATTCAGCGTTCCTACGGCGCTTTCTCTGTCCCACTCTTGTGCCGGAATGGAATATGTCCTGCAAGCCTTGACGAACAGGCTGACATTCTTGGTGAGCACTTCGAATTTGTTTCTAGTTCCGAACACTATACGCAATCATTTAGGCGGCATAAGCTACATGCAGAAAAAAAGATTGTGCCTACGACCGGTGGTTTGCAAGAGCCTTATAACTCTCTTTTCATGCTGCACGAACTGCAGATGGCTCTCGATTCGTCCGGACAGACTGCCCCTGGACCGGACGGTATCCACTATCAAATGCTTCAGCACCTTCATCCATCTACTCTAGAGCTCATCTTGTATCTTTTCAACCGAGTTTGGGTCGAGGGTCTTTTCCCATTGTCCTGGAAGGCTGCCGTTATTATCCCCCTTTTAAAGCCAGGAAAAGATCCTGCCTGTGCCTCCAGCTTCAGGCCTATAGCACTAACTAGCTGTCTTTCGAAGACATTAGAAAGGATGATCAACAGAAGGCTGATGTTTTATTTGGAGAGTAATAATCTTCTTGACAGGTACCAATGTGGCTTTCGTTCAGGACGATCCACGGTCGACCACCTAGTTCGTTTTGAGACTGTTGTGCGAGAGGCATTTGTAAATAAGCAGCATTGTGTCTCTGTCTTTTTTGACCTGGAAAAGTCATTTGATACAACCTGGCGCCATGGCATACTGCAGGATCTGTTCAGCTTAGGTGTACAGGGCCGAATGTTAAGTGGCATTCAGAGTTATCTTCAAAACCGGACTTTTCGCGTGAAGCTTGGGACAACTTTTTCTAGAGAATTTTCGCAGCAAAATGGAGTACCTCAAGGTGGTGTACTTAGCGTCACTCTTTTTATTGTGAAGATGAACTCGATTGTCCGCGCAATAGCTCCATCTGTTCATTACTCACTGTACGTCGATGATCTGCAGATTTCTGTATCGTCTTGTAATCCATCCATATGTGAACGTCGGCTCCAGCTCACAATCAACAACTTGGTCAAATGGGCTGATGTCAACGGTTTTAAGTTTTCTCCTGAGAAGACCGTCTGTGTGAGTTTCTCACGTCGCCGCGGAGTTTTGCACGAACCTTTTTTGACTATGTATGATGTTCCTATCCCAGTGAAAACTGAACACAAGTTTTTAGGTCTTATATTTGATTCCAAATTGACTTTTGTTCCGCATGTCAAGAGCCTGAAGATGAAATGTTTTAAATCGCTTAATATACTTAAGGTCCTGTCGCATGTGTCCTGGGGTGCTGACCGTCTTTGTCTCTTGCGTATCTATCGGTCGGTCGTTCGATCCCGTCTTGATTACGGTTGTATTGTGTATGGTTCTGCCCGGACATCGGTTCTCAAAATGCTGGACCCTGTTCATCATCAGGGGTTGCGGCTTGCTACCGGTGCTTTTCGCACATCTCCTGTTCTTAGTCTATACGCAGAAGCAAACGAGCTCTCTCTAGAGAAAAGAAGATCTGAACTGGGCTTCACATATTTTATGCGAATTAGATCGGTTCCTAACCATCCAACCTTACACTGTATGGAACGAATACGCTACGAGCGAACCTTCAGTAGCAAGCCTTCAGTTGTTCCACCTCTTGCTATGAGGGTTCGCAATTCTGCGGAGTCTGTAGGACTGGACGTGTTGCCTCCAGTTGTACAGTGTTTGAGTTCGGCAGCCCCTTGGGACCTAGTTCCCATTCAGTGCGAACTGGAGCTAACGAAATTCAACAAAAAGGACACTCCTCGCGAAGTCCTGAGACAAGAATTCCTTGAGCTCCAAGTACAGTATCACGACTTTATAAGCTTTTACACTGATGGTAGTAAAACTGATTCCTCTGTGGGTTGCGCAGTGATCGGGCCTGGGATGCAGCTTGTCCGGAGAATAAATGACAGTGCCTGTAGTTTTACGGCAGAGCTCTATGGCTTACTCCTCGCCACAGATAAGATCCTTAAACAAAAGCTTCACAAGTCAATTGTTTACACCGACTCACTTAGTGCTTTACGAGCTCTTGCCAGAGTGGGAAATGATCGCAATCCACTCGTAATAGAAATAAGGAACAGGCTAATTTCAGCCGCAAAACGGAAAAAGAAAATAATACTATGCTGGGTTCCTTCACATGTCGGAATTGCCGGAAATGAGGATGCTGACAGAGCAGCAAGTACTGCTAAGGATCGAGAAGTCGACCTGTGGAAAATACCTTACAGAGACTATAGGCATGTTCTGAAATTTTCCATAAGACGCAAGTGGCAAGAGGAATGGGACCGAGAAATAAACAATAAGTTGCGCGCAGTTAAACCACTACTTCAGGAATGGGAGAGTGCACGTCACCGCGAGCGTTTTTATGAGGTGGTTTTGTGCCGACTGCGAATTGGTCATACCCGTCTAACCCATGGGCATCTTTTGCGTGGGGAGGATGCTCCGGAGTGTGAACACTGCTACATTCCGTTAAGCATCCTACATATCTTACTTGTATGCCCTTTGTATGACCAAGAACGCCACAGACACTTTGCTAAGGTTTACCAAGAGCATACACCATTACATCTCGCCCTTTTACTCAGTGATGAGCCATTGATTCCACACAAGTGTGTTTTCAACTTTCTTAAGGATATAAGACTCCTGGACCAGCTATAATTTTAATAGTTCATCGTATTCATTGCCACATCTTATGCGCTTGTACTTTCATGATCATTGTTTTATTAAATTACAAGCTACTATAGCTCTTTCTTCTCTTCAACCTTGATTCAGCAATAGTCCTAGTTGTTGGCGCATTATAGCCTTGGTCGCTGCTGCGCCATTAAACCCCAATCAATCAATCAATCAACATACGCCATTTTGAAAAAGATAATACGCCAAGCTCTGACGTCAGCGACGTCAAGGAAGGAGTGAGAGCGATAGGCTGGCGGAATGATATAAATATATTTGAGGTTCATTAGCCACTGCATTTATGGCCCGTCACGTGCTTAAGCAACTTGTGCCCCTAAATGACTAAAATATAGGGTATAATAAAATTTGACTTTCTTTGGTCAGTGTTATGGTTTTTTGAGACTAAACGGATAAACAATGCCCTTATTAGACCTCCGTGCTTTTTGTTAGGTTAATGAGTGTCATGGTTGGCTCATGTTTGGCACTTGTGGCAAGCAGTTATGTGGAAAATCAAAAATAAGTCACAAAATCCAAATAAAAGTAGTTTGGCACTAACAGACGCCTTTGAGCAATCGTTTATTAGGCCCTGGAGGCCCAGAGGACCAGGGGGTAAATGTGGGAGCAGAACGCAGCCAATCTTGAGCGCATAGGTCGCTTGTCATGAGAAAGTCAGAAAACGAGCAACAAAAGAGAAGAAAAAAATAGAAGAAAACAGACAAAAGATTAGGAGCGTTTTTTTTTTATTATTATGACGGCATAACGTTGTTCGAGAGCTTGTCAACTTTATTTATTTTTACGCAATGCCCGATGCCTCTGTTTTCCACCAGGTAAGTACAAAATAAACCTAGAAAAGCAATTCGGACAGACCTTGAAAGTCATCTGCGTCCAATGGAACTACCGCTGTCCTCGTCTCTTTCGCGCCGTTCGGAAGCATCGGTGTTGCATGGAACCTTTCGCTCTAGATCAAAATATTAACTCTATGTCTGGCGCGCTTCCCCTTTCGGATGTAAAAAAAAAAAGAGATGTCCCCCCGTTCACTTCGGTGTCTAACACTGCATTTCCTTCTGCAGGGCAGCTGCCGAACAAGACGCTTTTATGTACTTTTGGAATTCAGTCTACCTATTGGATAAAGGGGCCCCAGGAAGGCCTTTGCGACATAATTATTTTGGATTGCTTCTACAACCTCAGGACAGCCACCTTCCTTGACCGCAGAGAACAAGCTATGGAGTGGTTTTTGGGCTTTGTTCGCAAGGACAGCGGATCCACCCAATTCGGATTAGGAATTCACCACAGGTGATGCCATTTCTCCGCGTGGATTCCAGGGGCGATGTGGGTGCAGGTTTCTAGCTATCCGAATTTCGACCTCTTGTTCTTAAAAAAAATAATGAAAATCACTGTAAGCCCACGCTGAAATGATAAGTGTTCACTGTCATTTTGTCAATGAAATGGCATATCAAAGGACAAAGAAACTCGTTTTCTCTCGGAATACTTATGTTGAAAATATAAAGGCATTTCACAAAGCTCCGGCAAAAATATATTTTCCAATACCTAAGTATCGCACAAAAAATGCAGAGTGTTTGAGGTCTTTTTGGTTGTTTCTCAAGAATCTAGTTAGGAATGTTAGCATAGTTTTAAATAAATACATTATTCTTTATGTGCAAGTAATTAACTATTTTCGATATTGGAATTCTGGGAATCGTTTCATTAGAAAGTTGCTGAGCATAAAAAAAGGCACAACTGTGAGCAACATAACAAAATTATCAAATACGCGCCGCGTCCACGGCGTTGCGAAAAAAAACGCTAATTTTGGAGGGGATTCTAGGTCCCGGAATCCTATCGGAGCGCATCTACGCGCAAGGAGTCCCGCTGCCAGCGGTCGAAACCGCAACGCATCGCACGTCGATGTAGCGTCTTTACACTGCCAGCGAAAACAAAATGGCACACCTCACGTAGCAGTCCGATGACTGACTCATCTAGCCTCTTCTACCTGCGATACGTGGAAGCGCACGCGGGTTGCGTGTTTTGACCACGTGGAGCGGGATTGCTGGCACGGAGATGAGCTGCGCTAAGAAACAAACTCTTCGGAACGCTTCAAGGGGAGCATTTTACAGCGAATCTGTTAATGGCTAGGATTCTGTCAATTTTTCGTGTGCGTGACGAAAAGCTCTACTCTTGCACCGCCGCACGTGCAAAAGATTTGAACTAAATGACCAAAATAAAGATTTGACGAAAGGTTTATTTCGCAAGATGCCAATTGTTTTAGGTTTTTGATTTAAAACAGTTACTCCTGCAGACGTCGGAACGTGCGGCACGTGGAACACCATTCCCTGCATTCTCCTTGATGCTTGGGTAATTTAGCAATAGCTCTCTCGTCATAATGGGAAGGTCGCGTATAGCGCGGACTCCCGAAGCGCAACGCGCCTGTGAAGAGCAACGGCGAAAACGGCACCGAGAATATCAGTGGCGGTGGCGGGCGTTAAACACCACCGATGAAGATTGTGCACAAAACACCAAGCGCATGCGTTAAACCTGACAAGACGGCGAAGGTCGCAGGGGGTAGGGCGCATAAAAAAGACGAAGGTACTATGCATCTAAATTGGACAACTTTAATCGAGCCCACGCTAAATTTTCTCACACGTCTATGTCGTGTGCGAAGCAGCTTCGTAGGTCATCCACGTCCACAGAGTAAAATCTTTCATGATTTCTTCGAACGCCGTAGAACTCATCACGAGCCTCATATCATTTTACTCTTTGTAGATTTAAAAGTTCTTAACTGTGCGCAACTGGTTTCTAAATAAAACCTTGTACTGAAATTTATATATCAAATGAGTCAACCTCTCATAAACAATGTATGACTTCAATATTCCGTACTATATATTGTTTTCTGAACATGCCCTTAATCAGGAACCAAAAACACATCAAACACTGTCTGGTGCGATGTGTCGTATATTTGCAAAACCAAATTTTCCGTAATTTCGAGTCCTTTTTTTATAGATAATGCAGTATGTTATTTAGAGAGACCACGAAGAAATCCCAAAGGTGTAAAGCCCAAGGGCGTGATTTTAGCACGCTTCGATGCGGTGGTTTGTTTTGTATTATACAAGGAATCAAATCAAGTCACTGCGCTGCCTCGTTCCTAGCCCGTAGAGTATAAGAACGCGCTTCCGATCTCCCCAAGTGAAAGGTTTCGTATACCCCCTTCGGCAGTCGCGTAAACTGCTGAAAGGTATCAACACCGTACGTGACGGTCAACAAGACCCGTGCAGACATTGTGAGCGTAGTTGCATAGCCAACACTAGAGCGGAGCTGGTGTGCCACCCAAGATAGCTTTGCCAGCTCGACCCGTGATGTTTCTACTACATGAAGGAATAAAATGCTAACACTTAAGATATAAAGTGTATGTAGCGCATGGTGCATAGGTATTCCATACGACGTTTATTTGACCTTAATATCCAACTAAGAGCAAACCCAATCCGCGTGTGACGAGAGACGAGTCCACCTCCAAACAAAACACGACCTGCTCTAGCCAGTTGGCAATGGCCAGGCGGCGCCACAAGTGAAGACGTCTCTGTTAATGGGGCGGCCAGTCTGCCCGTCGGGCCGTTGCGAGCGGCGGCGATCCCAATTTCCGCAGTCCCCGTGTGCACCTGCGTGCCATGCCCCTGGTTCTTTTATGCAGTTTTTTAAGACCATCGGAGCTTTGATAGGTCCAAGTGTTTAGAGAATATTCTAGAGTCGTCATTTGGATACCAGTTTTAGTTGTCTTCACCACTTGGGGCCGCCCGATCGGTCTTTGCTCCGCTCGTCTTGTAGAAGACGATTCCTCCTCCAGTGCGGACGATTAAGACGGCTCGGACCTGAGCTTTTGAATAAAGTTTTCCTCCTCCTCCCAGGAAGTGACACAACACAACGAGAAGGCAGCGAATGGGTTTATTGTACATCCTGGTTACCTGTCTTCGAGAGCCGGCAGTCCGGACCCGCCGACCGTAGTTGTCGCCCGTCGTTCAGAGCTCACAGTCGGAGCCCGTGTCTAGGCGTGCGGAACGTCCATCCCTCGCCAGTGCTGCGTAGGCTAGCTGTTCCGGGCTATCACAGCCAGAGTCTCACTGCGTTATCACTCCGGGATCGCCATGGACGAGGCCGGTATGGTCAGGGCTCGCCGCTTCCGCCGGTCCTGATCCGAACCATGCTGGTGGCATACTCTGGGGTTCGGCATGGGCCAGACCAGCCAGAACGGATCTATTGTTCCTGCCCGGCCCCAGCTTCGTGCAGCACGCTCTTCCTCTTTCTTCGCCGGCTGGCCCCCGCTCGCGCCTCGCTCGCCCGTCATCTTCTTCTCCTGACGCCCCACACACTAAACCAAAATTTGCATGCTAGAGAACATTACACAAGCCTCTGTAAAAAAGGCGACAGGCAATAAAGTGTACGTGTGAGGATATTGACGCTTCGCATGAGCTTTTTCTGAAGAAAAACTTTTGCATCCTGTTTTCTGCACCGCCGCCACATTTGTTACCAAACTCAGCATTAAATTTGGTTGGCGAAACAAACAAAACTTTGTGCTACGAAAATCCACTGTTTGAAATATTGCAGGTTCGGAAGGTTTCGGTTGCGACCGCGCGTGCCGAACGGCTATGCACGCGTACAACTACGAATGCCGGAAATGGGCCGACGGACCTCTCGCTTGAAGACCTGATCGCCTGATTCTCGACGTCACAGCGAAGCAACAATCGGCCCGATTGTTGTTTCGCTGTGACGTATTTCTTTATGTGGCTGTCCAAGTGACTCGTAAAACAACTTCTATAAATACGTTATTTTGCCGACTTGTCTGCGAAACGAGTTCGTCAGACCACTTTCCGAACCTCCACATCTATTTTCGTTCACTTCAACATTTAATGTAAGATTCACTTACTTGATGCGTCGCACTGCAGTAATCCACTTCTGTCGCCATGTCGCTTCCCAAGATCTCGAGGAGAAGCGGTAAAGTTTGACGCTTGAGTCACCTTCGCGACTGTGGCAGCTCATTCACGCAGCAATAGCGACGTTTATTTTTGGGGGGAACTCTAGGAGCAGGCGAGATGTCGCAGGCATCCGGTGAGGTCATAAAGACGTGAAGTTGGGACTTACTTTTACAAAAAAAATGGTTGGAAAAAGGCACACGCCGATCCAAACACCACGTTCAGACGTGGTTTCTCAATGCGACCAGCCGCCGTCCCCGTGACTTATCCCGGCCTGGCCTACCCAGTTTCTTTATTTCGCAGCCGCTAGATGGCGCAACGTGTAGTGTCAAAATGCATTGCCGGTTGCCTATACCCCATTCACCCCGAAGCTGACAGTGCGGAAACAACTACGTGCTTCCTGCACCACATATATGTCTATATCTTCGCCACGTGATCATGTTCTCACCCATGCCCACACCCAGAAAGAGGAGTCAGGTGACAAAGGGAAGGTGTTTGATTGGTCCGGCGAACCCGCGGATTCCACGGCATTGTGACTTTAGAAGATGAACGGAGTATAGCACCGAACACATTCACCGCACCACGAATGCCGCTTACCGCTATGAAAATGGAAATGCGAACGACGAGGGGTTTAAAGAATAATAATCCTTGTAAAATGGAACAAAGGACAAACACAAAATTCCAAACACAGCTAGGCGACTGGTGTGCGCTGAAAAAAATCCTCCTGGTCCTGGAATCAAACCAGAGAGCCCTCATTTTCCAGTGGAGCGCTTTCCCAATTGAGATAACCGGGAGTTAGACATCAATAGAACAAGTGAGCTTTATCAGCCGCCACCAGACCACGAACAAGGGTAAACGCCCTGCAGTTTAATGTTATGATTTTAATGCAATTAATGCAAAGGTCAAGGCGACCTAGACGGGCCCTTTTTTCTCCGAAATTAGGTCATAGGGCAGAGTTTTCTTGAAATAAAAGAAAGGGTAGGCAACGTTTTTCTTTCAATTAGGAGGCCATGATTCAACAGGGCGCGCCCAGTTGGGCTTTGCTCATGGACGAGTTCGGGGACCTCAGGGGAAGCGTCAGGGAATCACCGGCGTATTTCCGCAATTCATTTCTTGACTCCTGCTACCTGAACTCTATACTTACAAAGCCCGGCAGTTCGACGACGGGCCATGGAGTGCCCGGTCGCAGATTTGGAGCGCGAGGATTTGGTAGCACAGAGGATCAAAGAGCCATTTCTCGGGGAACCTGGACTTCACCTCAGAGCTGTCGTGGCGGCGAGGGCCCGAACTCGGGATCCGTCCGAACAGCACAAACACAAAGCTCGTGGATTAATACTGCTAAATGTTGGCTTGATAACATTAAAAAAAATGAGATAGTGTATTGAAAAACAAGGTTGGCAAACACAAGTCGAAAAATCACCCGTCATCTACAAAAAAAAAAAAAAAAAAAAAACGCCAACCGCGTTTCTGTGCGTCTGAGCTGATTCGCTCGAGAACCACTTTCGCAACCGCTTCGCAACAGCAGCTCAACCGCTACTGCGAATGCGCAATCAGAGATGCAGCCTTGTGACGTCGGCACCGCGGTGGAGGATGGGAGGGATTTCCGGCTGTTTCAAACAGTTTTGGTTCGGCGGCGGATAATTAAGTTGGCTTTTACCGATTGTTCGTCGTTTTGGTGTCCAGTAAAGATATTAAGAGAGGCTCTATATTAGCCTCTGGTGGTGAAAAGAGTGGAAACCACAAAAATCGATTGCAAACGCTCACATTCATCCAACCGGCTCCAATTCGATCTAATCGATGGTTTGTCAGGCGCTACTGAAAGGTTTGAGACAAAACAGAAAATGAAAATAGCGGTTTTCAATGAACATTTAAGCTCACAATAAAATATTCTTGTTGTATTGCCTAACGCACGATCAACTTGCATTTCAGGGGAAAGCCTGAATCTAAAGGTTTTTATTTAGTCAGCTCTTAGAGCTTCAGCCGTCTTGTTGAGATGCAAAAAAAAATTAAAAAATAACCTATTATGGTTGGACACTTTATAAATATAAGCGTCTTGATTTCTTTGAGATAAATTGTAAACAAGTGTAAAAGTTGCTTTGTTTGAGTGTTCTTATTCCTGACATTTTCCAGAGGTTAAAGCCTAAATACCCGGTGACATAATGAAATAGGAGGTAATCCTGCATATTGTAAACTGAAAACGGACTTGCGAAGTGTCAATCGAAGAATGTATTCTTGAACTAATCTTCACACATGTGTCATTTATCTCAGCAATGCCCTTCAAGCTTACAACGACCTCAACGTCGCCGTTGGTATGAACACGTTTAGAGACTTCTGGAACCTGAACATCCGACATTACTGTCTTCTCACATTTCAAGTACACGACGCTTTTATAACCAACAGAAGCACCGTCCAGGGCTACGACAAACTTTTGAAGGTAACATACAACCTACCTTGTAAGTTACACTGCGGGAAACGTTGGTCCATATATCATTCGTGTTTCGATTTTAAATACGCCGAAAACAAAGGAACGACGTCGAAATTGTTGGTTAATGATGTAAGTTATCTATACCAATGCTTGATTCTAGCCGCTCAAAATGTGTTTGGAATTAAGTCAGACGGATCAAGTCAAATATTGTTCCAACGCGCAAAAGAGTCATGGTCTGCAAGTACCATAATAGACCATTCCGAATATACGCAGTGCCGACCAACATCCTTTCGATGCAGTAAGCAATCCAATGCACGGCGAGTGCAGGGTCACACTCTTAAGAAAAGGTATATATAGTCATCCATTAAGCACGTAACATTCTTGTCCCCTATGTTCATTTAGAAACGGAGCAACCGTCGTCCTTGCAAACGGGGGAGCACAGTTCATCCCTCGTCTGCGTAGCAATATGGCGGCTCCAAATCGAGTGAGGTCGTCCAGGACGTCGTCTTTGATGTCACGCTCTAGGATGTCGTCCTAGAGGTGTTCATAGGGCGTGCTTGACGTCATCCTAGACATCGTCCGTGAGGTCGTCCTAGAGGTCCTCATCGATGTCGCCGTCTTTAACGTCGTCCTCGATGTGTGTACGACATATTACAACCATTTAATTTTTAACTGTGTCTCTGCAAAGCTACATCATTCCATCACATATGGTTAGATGAACGTGCATGTCCTTTTTTAATCCAGTATATCTACCCCAATCCATGCTCTGAAAGTGCACATTGCAGCCCTTTCAACTAAACACAAACCATATGTAACGTTACTGCTAAAGTGGGATTACACCCAACTCTTAGAAATGAAGAAACACACCGGTCAGTTCCACGCTTGCACACGTCTCCTAATGCGCAAGTTAGCCTTAAACAGTCTGCGCTCTACTGGTCGCAAAAGTCAACATGAGCCGTCTAGTGATCAGCCTAAAGCATAAAGATCCAAGCAGACCCATTAAAAAATTTTGCAAGTTTTATTTTCGTCTATTGAAGCCCTCGTAATATGACAGCACTAAAGGCCGGTCGTGAGTTTCGACGAAGATTGGTAAAAACAAAACAAAAAATGTTTGGTAGAAGAATCTAGAGGAAAAAGCTTGAGAAGGAGAAGGCATGATGAGGCGTTTGATAAGGACACAACTCATAAATGTAGAATATAAGAAATGTAAACAAAGCCCACAATGACGGGCAATGACTTCGATGCTCGATCCTTTACTCAGACATGTACACGTTAGTGAAAAAATATAAGGAATTCGATTTACAATTACTCAAGGCTAAATTGTACTTATTCACAACTACAATTAAACTTTTATAAAGTAAGTGAACATTACTCCAGAAAGTAATTCCTTACTTTGCGGGCGTAACTTCAAACATTACTGCTCTCAATAAAGAAACAAAGGGAAGAGGGTTATTGAAGTGTGTACTGTTGCCACCAGTTCCGTTTATTGACAGTGAGTATTTTGACCAACAGCTGACTCTCGAAAATCCCCTTTCATCTTGAAGATGTCGACTGCTACGCTAAACACTCTTTCAACTGAGGCTTTAGATGGGAGTCCCATATTCGGCCTTACGAATGCTTGGTGCCTTACGAATACATTGTGTTTCTCCAGCGAAGCGATGAAAGTTCTCTTTACCCTCAAAAAAATTACCAAGCTTCGTCTTTGCAGCCGGTGCCTGATAACGTCGGAATCGTAAAAGCTCTACAAGTCCCCATACAACTCGACAAACATGGGATGAGATTTGATGTGTATGCATCCATCCAGAGTCACGTACGGAGAGTTTGGTCGATGGAAAGAGCGGGCAGAGCCAGGGCCTGCGCCAGACGCCGATAAAGCACATGACATGCACTCTGGCCAACCAGAAGTCGAAAATAATTCCTTAGCGGTGGTAGCGAGAAACAGTTTTGATAAGAGCGTAAGGGTTGCATGTAGTAACTTTTCATTGTTGAAAATATAGTGAACATGATGCTGTGATTATGATAATGCAAAAATATATAAGAAACGAATGTGCCTCTCGAATTGTGTTTTGCTCAGGCAAAGTGTGTTCTCGACCTTGTCGCGCTCTTCTACTATGACTTTGGATTACCGTAATCAAAACATTACGTGCACCATATTTTGAGTCATAAAAACTACTTCGACGCACTTATTTATTTCCCTTCTCGCGACCACCACCAAGATATTATTACCGGCTTATGGATGGTAACATTCGAATTTGTGAAGCCACCCTGAAACACGCCCAGCCTGCTTCCGGTTCAATGGCGCCTACTTATAGGCTCTATACTTTCCAATGAATGGACAAACTCCCTAAAATCTACACTCTCAACAAAAGGGTAGTCATAGGGTACTATATTTGGGGTAGTCAGAAGCCGTCAAAGATATCGCTACCCCCCCCCCCCCTCCCCCCTTCGTTATACTAACGACCCCATGGGTAGTCACACGGCACACAAACAACAGGAAGTCACAGTGACCACCCCCTAAAGCAACACGGCGGCTGGCAAGCCACAGTGGAGCAATACGAGTAAGGCCTAGCGAGCTGGACTGCTTTTTGCTAAAATACCATTCTCAAGTGGGTACGCCCATTCGTTGCCTTCCGTGCGCAGTAAAGCACTCCAAAACGCGCCTCGAAGCACCGGCACCGCACCTATTACGAGTAGGGGCGACGATGTGAGGGGGGACATTCGAGGGGGTTTGCCCGCGACTGCTTTCGCGCGGCCGGCTGCGTTTACTTCGCGGCCAGAAAACATTCAAATAAGGAATCGTATAGCGACAAATGGAATGATGTCTTTATTGAACAGAGAATCTGCTTGCTGTGCTTGCCGCAAGTGATACGGCGTTTTCGGCTGAGAGCGGCGAGGCGAAGCATCACCAATTCAATCGGCGTCGGTTCCGATCGTTCAACGGTCCTGCTCACCTGTTAGCATTCATTATCCACTCTCAAGTCCCTGGTAATCCTCACCGGGTCTGTGCAGGCACTTGGCGCTATTCACCGCACGTAACACCGATTCAACTGGCTATGGGACTGATCCCACTGGGACGAGAGGCCGAGAACCGAACCCTCCGTAGGCTTCTTCGTGTAAGTTTGTAAGGGACCAAGTGTTAAAAGATATATTTTAGGCAAAACATTTTTTTAACAACTTTGACGGGGCGAGATTAATTTAAAATTCCGCGCGCAAAGTCCATGACGTCACGGAATGGTAATACGCAATTTCCCCCTCAATAAGATGGTCATACCCTTTCTCCACTTCAACGCGATGGCCAAGGCAATCCACCTCTCCTCCCCGCACCCGAAATGCCGAGAAAAAACGAGTGGAAAGGACGTGACTACCGACTAAGTCGTGTCTCGCCCAATCCCTATTTTAGCAGTGACGCAGTGTCTGTTGTCTTTCGTTGTTTGTTGCATATTTAATATTGTTGACTTGTGACTATATTACTATCTTTATTTTATGTATGTGCCTCTCCCCCTCTGTAGTGCCTTCGGGCCCTGCGGGTACTTTCAATATACAAACATTTCGTCATTCTTGTCCAGCTCGCTTGCACCTTTGCATTTTAATTGCATTATAATTCTACAAATATTGCTCTAAATTTTTTTTTATTCGCGTAAAATTTATTTTTTGACACGCGAGTCCTAACCAGACTGTTTGAAAATTTTTAGAGCCCAAAGCAAACACAACTATCAAATGACAACGAGCATACAAAAAAACAAAACAAAACAAAAAAACATTTTAAACGAAGTTTGCAAGAGCAGCTTTAAACAATACAAAACACGTTTCGAAGCCACGAGTAGAAGATAAGTTATACACAGGGCGAAACCAAACTCCGAAGTGAGGATCTGAGTGAGGCGAAGTGAGGAAGACAAAACACCTCCACGCTGGGCTCTATAAACAAGTGTATCGTTACAGCATTCAAGTTCAATTCCAATTTGGTGATTCCCGACCATGGGTGAAACTATAAACCGTGCAGTGGAGCCGGCCAGCATCGGCCGAAACATCGAGGGCCGAGAGAGAGAGAGAAAACTTTATTGACTGGGGAAATCGGTGAAGGGGAATAGAGGTCATGGTGGTGGTGGTGGGCGAGGGGCCGAAGGCCCATCCCCTCCTGGCCGTCTTCTCCTTTATTTAGGTTGGTGGTCCCGTGGTGGCGGTCGGCCGAGGCTTCCCGGCTACCTCTTCCGCCCTTTTGACCAGGCCGGCCTGTAGGTACGGGTCGGGGCTGCGAAGCGAGGTCTCCCACCTCTCCTCAGAAGGAATTTCGGGGCAGGGATCCTGAGGGCACGCCCACATGATGTGGGCCAGGTTGGCATGGGCGCCACATAAGGGGCACGCCGAAGTTGGATAAAGGATGGGGTGGATATGAGTCATGGTGGGCGGGTTGGGGAAAACTCCCGTCTGGAGTTGGCGCCAGACGTGTGATTGCTCTAAGCTAATGAATTTGTCCACCTGCGGATAGATTCTGCGGGAGAGGAGGTAGTAGGTGGTAATGGTCATGATAACCGATCAGACAGTCCCGCGCGGACCGGGCTCCGTGGTAGGGATACAGGCTCGGCCCAGCCCGGTTAGTAAGTCCTCGGGCTAGGTCGTGGGCCGCCTCGTTTCCCTCGAGCCCTGAAAGTGCAGGGGTCCAGGTCAGTTGGACTTGAGATTGCGGGGGGTTTCTGCGCAAAATTTTGAGTGCCGTTGGGGATATGCGTCCGGCGGCCAAATTTTGGAAAGCGGTTTTAGAATCGGTAATGATTGTTGCGAGGGTAGGGTTAAGCGTTAAGGCCAGCGCTACCGCCGGTTCCTCCGCCGTTTAAGGGATGGGCGTCCGGACTGTGATCGAATCTAGCGGGTTGCTGTTGGAGTTATTGCGAACTGCGACTGCGGTGAATGCTTCGTGGTGTCTATATTCCGCTGCATCTACGTACAAAACTCGGGGGTCGTTTTTGTAATTCTTGCGTAGGGAGCGCGCTCGTTCTTCCCTCCGATTGGTG